TAGTCCCAACTACTCAGGAGGCTGAGGCAACAGAATTGCCTAAGCCCAGGAGATAGAGGTTGCTATGAGCTGTGATGCAACTCTACCAAGGATGACGAAATTAGACTCTGTCTCTAAAAAAAAAGAAAGAATGAAAGAAAGAAAACCTATTGTTTAGGGCAGCCACCTTCATTAATATTCTTAGATAAATCTTTTGAATGACTTGCTACTTCACCCTGCTCTTTTATTCTGCAGCTTCCTCATCTTTCTTAGCCCTCGTAGAATTGAAGAGAGCTAGAGCCTTGTTCTGGATTAGATTTTGGCTTAAGAGAATGCTGTGGCTGGTGTAGTCTTCCATCCAGACCACTAAAACTTTCTCCATATCAGCAGTAAGGCTGTTTTGCTTTGTTTGTTAACTGGAGTAGCACTTTGAATTTCCTTCAAGAACTTTTTCTTTACATCCACAACTCAGCTTCCTCTTCTAACCTGTCTCAGTTTTTCACATGCCTTCCTCACTAAGCTTAATCTTCCCTAGATTTTGATTTAACACAAGAGATGTGCAACTCTTCCTTTCACTTGAACACGTAGAGGAATATTTTTGTGTCTCAGGGAAGAGGGGGGTGTGAGGAGAGGAAAAGAGACAAAAAAAATGACCAGAACATGCACAACATTTACCTGTTAAGTTTGTTGTCTTCTGTGGACACGGTTCATGGTACCCCAAAACAATTACAATGGAAACATCAGGAGATCCCTGGTCAAAGGTCACCATAACAGATATAATGATACAAAGTTTAAAATATTACAAGAATTAGCAAAATGTGACACAGAGACAGAAAATGAGCACCAGCTACTGGAAATATGGTGCCAAGAGACTTGCTTCCTGTGGCTAATTCCTCGCTACATCACATATGTGAATGCCCTTTCAATTAGCAAGAATTTTATCTTCATTAACTCTGCCTTTGTTCTTATCAAGAAATAAATGATCATTTTTGTTTTTACTATCATCTATCTAATTTTATTTTATTTTTTCATTAAATCTTAGCTGTGTACATTAATAATACAACAGGGTACAGTGTACTGTTTCTGTATACAATTTGAAGTACTTTCATCCAACTGGTTAACACGGCCTTCATGTCTTTTTCTTAGTTACTGTGTTAAAACATTTATATTCTACATTTAGAGAGAGTCACATGTACCCTTATAGAATGAACCATAGGCGTGATCCCGCCAATCACCCTCCATCCCCCCACCTTCCCCCCTAAATGATCATTTTTAATGAAACAGACAGTAACATCCTAAAGCTTTACTTCGGCAGTTCTAGCTGTGTACTCCGTATGTGCATGTGTGTGTTAAAACCAAAGCATACAGAGTAGATCTGCCAGGTTTGGATGAAAAATATAAAATTCAGATTACACCGTGAGCCCATCTTTCATTTTGTGTCCTTGTTAAATTGTAGGGGTGGAGAGAGAGAGAGAGAAAGAGAGAATGAGAGGCTTTCGCTATTTCAAAGCTAAAACTAATTTCTTAAAGTAAGGCCATTAGATAGCACACTGAAGCCCAATTCCAACACAGCAAACTTCACTGCTTTGATATTGTCAATGACAACGTCACTGCACAGATAAACTCAGAGACACAGGAACTAGAGTCGTCCATATATCTGTTACTTTCTTCCCCTTCCAACTCTCTTGCTTG